TCCATAGCTGGTATGGTGTTCCTTCAACCGCCTTGGTTGGAACTCGGTTAAGAGTATATATTGCAGTGCTCAGCGCATACCCCCAGAATGATTCTGGTAGAGTCGAATGACCCATCATAGAACGAACCATGTCAAGCAGGGTTCGATTCCTCCTTTCAGAGACACCATTCCATTGTGGAGTCCCAGGAGGTGTGAGTTGGGATAAAATCCCATGCTCTCTAAGATAGTCATCGAACTCACCACTTAAGTATTCTCCACCTCGATCGGATCGTAGTGTTTTAATACTTTTGCCAAGTTGTTTTTCAACTTCATTCCTGAATTCTTTGAACATTTCAAAGGATTCTGACTTGTGTTTCATGAGATACACATAGCCATATCTACTGAGGTCATCAGTAAAAGTGATGAAGTATGAATAACCACCTCGTGCAGTTGTATTGAAAGGCCCGCACACATCACTATGAATGAGTGCCAGAAGATCACCAGCTCTTTCACCGTGTCCGGTGAAAGGAGATTTGGTCATCTTACCCAATAAACAAGATTCGCATGTGTCATATGATTCAAGATCAAATGACTCCAGCATTCCCGACCGATGTAGCTTGGATATGCGTTTCTCGTTTATATGGCCTAACCTACAATGCCATAGGTATGTTTGGTTCAAACCGTTTGGTTTGTTCCTCTTGGCTGATATGTTATAGACAGGCATGTCCAAGTCAAGGACATATAACCCATTGGTCATGTTGGCATTAGCATAGAAAACATTTTTTCTGTAAACGGAAAGGGACTTGTCTTTAATAGAAATGATGAAACCACTCTTATCAAGACATGAAACAGAAATAATGTTTCTGCTAATTGCAGGAACGTACAAGCAATCGTTTAATTCCAACATTAGACCACTAGGCAAGACTAAACTATAAGTTCCGATTGCCAAAGCTGCAACAGGTGCACCATTGCCGACTCGAAGTTCAATCTCGCCTCGAGCTAACCGTCTACTCTGCTTTAGTCCCTGCATGGTAGTACACTAGTACAGATATGAGATCCACATCTAGTATCTAGTACCCATGATGAAGATATAGACATGTTAACTTCTATAACATACACCTCAGAAGAAATGGTCGTACCTTCCTTCTTCTTGGTTGCGAGGTATGTCTTGCAGTTTCTCCTCCAGTGGCTTGCCTTACCACAATGATGACATTTGCCCTTTGCAATCCCTCCTACGGGTTTCTAGGTCGCAGATGAAGTGGACTTTGATTTAGGCTTTCCGACCGTCCTAGCCTTAATCTTAATCCCCTTCTTCGGCTTCCCCTTTCCGCCTTGGACCATAAGGACGGAAGCACCCTTGCCCTTAGTAAGGTTCTCCTCTGCAGTCTGGAGCATTCTAAGAAGCTCCGGAAGGGGTTTGTCAAGATCATGCATCATGTAGTTCATGACAAAACCCTTATACAGCTCAGGGAGCGACTGCAGGATCAGGTGTGTTGCCAGCTCCTTCTGCAAGGAGAACCTGAGTTTCTCTAGATTGGTTATGTAACCAATCATTTTGAGAACGTGCGGACCGACCGGGTTCCCTGAAGAGAGCTTGCAACTAAAGAGAGCCTTACTCACGAGAAAACGTTCATGCCTGGATTTCCCCTGGTATAGCTGCCGCAAGGCCACGATCATCTCGTGGGCCTTCATGTCCTCGTGCTGTTTTTGCAGCTCAGTTATCATGGTAGCCAGCATGGCACAGCTAACCTGGTTGTCATCCTTAACGTGTTTCTCGTAGGCATCTTTGACCGCTTTCGGGGCGTTAGCGGGAGGGGCAGGGGGAATGGGCTTTTCGAGCACATACTCTTTCTCATCCATGCGGAGAACAATGGAGAGATTGCGTTGCCAGTCAACAAAGTTTGTTCCGTTCAATTTATCTTTATCCAGAATGGAACGCAGGGCGAGGTTGTTTGTGTTGTTGTTTGCCATCTACAAAATTTTGCGAAGATAGTTATTATCATGAATTAAGTATCTAATAGGTCTTTATTAAATACTCTCCCACTATTTCTAACAAGTCAATTACCCTCAGGTACGGAACCTATTGACTTGGGGTTTCTTCGTGAGAAGAATACCCTAGCGGGCCAAGATCCATATTTTACTTAACTATAGTTGTGCTTTGCATCTTGCTCTACAGTCAAGTTATTTAGGTAGGAATTCATTCCAATTGTAATCATTATTACAACTCTTGGTTTGGTGGATTCTTTTAAATAAAATTCTTAATTGGGCCAGATCCATATTTCATTTAACTATAGTTGTGCTTTGCATCTTGCCCTACAGTTAAATTATTTCTGGTAGGAATAAATTCCAATTGTAACAAGTTACAACTCTGGTTGGATGATCTGATTTTATTTATTGATCCTACCATAGTGCCCTAAGTCTCTCATCCATATGACCAAGACCTAGTTAAGACTAACCCGGTGCGAGTCAGTACCCTAGTTACGGGTTTCGCGCCTAACCAACATAAACCGGGCGTCTCACTTGGGTGAGTCCGTTACCGATCTAAATTGGGTTTGACGAGTGACGGGGCGTCGGGGTGGCACAGACTTAAAATTATGAGGGATTTATTACGCAGTCTTGCCTATGGCATACACCGCGCGCATGCACTAGCAAAAATCACATACATGCATACATTCAATCATACATCACATGCATAATGAGTAAACGTGAAATGATTGTGGCTCCTAACGAAAAACAAATGACAGTGCCTTGATCAAGATATCTCTATCTCCGGCCCATCAGGTCTTCCTTAGGATTCTCCATCACGAACGGACTTCGTCTTCTTTTCTTCTTATAATTTTCGAGAGAAAAGAATATTGAGGTAAAGAAGAGAATTACATCCAGAGTATAGAGATGAGGCACGACACGCAGGCCGTATTTAAAATTATAACAAATATAACTAAGCCACAATCATCCACCATGCAATAATACATACAAGCATCACATGCATCACATCATATATATTAAAGCATACACCGGGCGAATCGTGCTCGCCCCAGACCTAGTTTATTCTATTCTACGGAATAAACTATCAACAATAAATTAATTAAACTAGCAAGTAATTTAATTAAAAAT